TTTTTTCCTTTGCAGACTTCTTTCTTATATTCAGCAACAGAACTTGCACAAATCATGGTAAAGTGTTTCATATGCATGGTTTAATTAACCCTGCACTGCACCCTTCAAACTAGACACTCTTTTGTCTTTACTTTGTTCTTAAAGCAGTGTAGGTTCTTATCTGTTGGATGAGGAATAATTCAATAAATAGAAAGTAGAAACCATTTTCCTTTAACAAGAAGGTTCCAAACTCAATCCTAATTATTCATTCAAACTTGACACTGTTGTGGATTATGTTCTTAAGCATCGAAGTTCTTTTCTACTTGTTCATCAGGTGATATTTCAGGTTGAAATCCAGCAAAAGAGGGAAAATGCCTATCTGTGTATAGACTTCATGCATCATTTTTCTCGGACTTCTGCAACACTCCAATGGTTCCTTCCCTGCTTTAAGAGAAATCTTTGCCATCCTTGAAGATGGAAAACTTTATCATCTCCACATAAAAGAAAATGAAACTTCCACATCTGTTATGCATGATCTGAAGTCTTTGCCAACCATGCATTGTGCCATTTACTCCACAATCTCCATCTTACTTCAACCCTGCAATTTTGATTAGCTTAAAGGTTTACATATAGGCAAAACCCTCTCTTAAGCCCCCAGAGTTACCTCAAATTAACACTTGAGCCCTTAAACTAAAAATAGTGTAAATTAACCCTCAAACTCCTAAAAAATGCTAATCATCTCTCATCATTAATGGCCCAATGCATGTGACCGCACGCCATCTATCCTTTCCCTTCACTTGGTCTCACTGATTCACATGGATACTGATGTGGATCAAAGGATTCCTTGGGCAATAAAAATCCCACTAAAATTGCTAATGTGACCTCTTCAGCCACATGGACCATTTTGGTGGGATTTTTACCACCCAAGGAATTCTTTGATTCACGTCAGCATCTACATGAAAAAGTAGAACCAAGGTTTTTAAAATTGGACCGGATTGGCCGGTTGAACCGATCAGACTGATACTCGGTGGCAAAAATGGTTCGGTTCACATAAAAGAACTATTTATATGTCAAACCGGTCAAAACCAGTTAAAATAGGTCAAAATTGATAAAACCGATGTAACCGATGGAACCAAAAAAACCACCGGTTCAATCTCACATGCAATCTTCTTTCCAATTTCACCCTCACCATTCCTTTGTTATACCGGTTTTACCCCTTAATTTCAACAAAATTACAAAATCACCAAAAACTAAATTAGAAACCCTTATTACAAACAACGTGGGCTTGGTGCAGAGGGCATGATTGCCGGCAGTGGCTGGCGTGCAAGCAACGTGGGTTCGGCGCAGCAAGCAGCAAGGGCTGGTTCGGTGTTGCAGCAGGGGCGTAGGGGCATGATGGCTCGGGCGTGCAGGGGCCTGATTGCGCAGGATCTTGGTGTAGAGGAGAGATCTGGGCGCAGGAGTTGAGGGGATCCAGTGCATAGCAAGGCTGGGCGCGGGGCGCGGCAAGGGCAGGGGCGTGGTGCAGCAGGAGGCTGGTTCGGGTATGAGGGAAAGAAGAAGGTTCTGGAGAGCAAAATGTTTTTTTTTTTTTTTTTTTTTGGGTTTTGGGTTTGGTATTTGGGTTTGGGGTCATTGGGTTGTTTAATGGGCTCAATTGAAATGATTAAAGTAGCAAAAAATAATATTAAGGTTGAAGTGTTGAATATTTGAAATTCAAAGAAGTTGGGAGTGGGAACTGGGAGTTTGGAGTCTGGACGGTGAACTGCACATCTCCCTTTGATTTTGGACCGGCTGGTTTCTCGGTTGAATCGGTTAAATTGGAAACCAAAATTCAAAATGGTTCAATAACCGATTCGGTTTTAAAAACCTTGAGTAGAACTAAGCAAAGGAAAAAAACATATGGTGTGAGGTCACATGTATTAGGTCGTTAATGGTGAGGACTAATTTTCATTTTTTGAAATATTTAAGGACTAATTTTCATCATTTGAAGGGGT